GGGGGGGAGCGCCGGCGGGGAAGGGAAGAGTGAACGTTAACGGTCACAAGGTCTTAAATAGCTGTATGGAGGCCGTGCCCAGCCTGGGGGAGATCCCGAGGTGCCTCTTCCGTGGGCACGGGAGCTTCGGGAGTGGGGCTGGGCCATTTCGCTTGGGACCTGCCTGACTTTCCCCACTGGGTGAGAACAAGTCACCCCCACTTTCCAGGAGTGTGTCAGGAAGGGAGGAAAGCCTCTGCGTGCCGGGATCTGGGGTGCACAAGCAGCAGGTCTGCTGGCCGGGTCTTCCTGCAGTCTCTGATTCAAGACAAATGAGAACACCTTTGAGCAAATGCTTGTTCTCCTCTGCCTGATGAGGTTAGATTCAGCCAGGTCTAGCCTCTTAAATAACTTTTTATCACATTTCACCAGGAGTATGAGGGTGAACGCAATGCAGAAGGCGAACGACATGGATCTGGAAAAGCATATCTACCCAATGGTGACACATACAATGGAGAATATGAACATGGTTTAAGAAATGGGCAGGTAAGACAGTGACAGAAGGCAGAGGCCGTGCTTATGTTTCATCAGTTCTGTCAGTCTGGGCACTGTATTGAAACAAGAGTGAGAACTGACAAGTGTTTTATCTATATCAAATGTGTTTCAGGGGACCTACAGATTTAAAAATGGTGCTTGCTACATTGGACAATATCTTCAAAACAAAAAGCATGGCCAGGGCATTTTTTTTTATCCAGATGGATCAAAATATGAAGGTAAAACCTGGTTGCAAGGATCTCTGTAACTGGTAGGACCCACTCCCCCAGCTCCCTCCCCATGTCTGGAATGCAAGGGGATAGTGAGTCGGAGAGCATATTATTTTAAGAAGATAATTCTTCTATGAAATATTTTCCTTTTATTCCTTTTTTACTACAAGCTCTGAGAAGTGTGGGTTTATGTCAATTATTGTGAGAAGTGTGGTGTTCAGTAGCAGTTTATTCTTGTCATGTCCTCCTTTCAAGTGGGATGTTCCAAGTCCTGAGAAATATTAAGCATCTTTTACAAATTGGTGCAATCTTGGTAGCAGAGAGTATAATTACATGTTTCTGAATGATGATTAGAACCACAGACTGTGTTCAGTGTGAAGTATTTTAGAGCTTTATTAGGTCCTCCCTTAAAAAAATAATTACTAATTATAGCACTTACTCAGGAATTGGGATACCTCTCGAGTTTGAAGTTGAAACTTGTATTGTTTCCCTTCTTCCAGGAGAGTACTCAAAACTTTCTGAATATCAGTTAGGCTTCACGGGACAATATTTCCTCCCCTCCTTTCATATCTAGGCAAGAAAGAACATTCACATTGTGAAGGCTAGAAGCAGAGAGCAAAAAGAGCTGCCCAATTCTTGCCTTATAGGAGCATATCCACCTGTGGTTTTTTTTTTTTTTGTTTTTGTTTTTTTTTAGTTTTTAAAAGTTTGAATAGTAGTTAAGACACACAATCTAGCATCCTTTTGAGTGTGTATGCCCCCTGACTGACAGGACAATTTTAGCAAATGAGTCAAACTGAAGTAGTACCCCTTTTTATTTGAGTGGTGGTGTCACATTATCTAATGTAACTGTAATACATTACCAAATTTAAAGATAGGAGCAGGATGTTAACATGGCTGGTTGTGTTCATCCTAAGATAGCACAGACAGACTGTGATGGACAAAATGTGTTTGAAGTGAAAGGGAAATCAGGCAGCTGAATAAAAATGTGTGGAGAGGGACAGAGAGAAGGAAAAAAGCAAGGACTTATAGTAAGGAATGGTGTAAGGAGTGGTAAGAAATCACAATGATGTCATAACTTTTTTTTCCTTCTCTAGTTATTAGTGCATGATAACTTTACAAGCTGACCACTGTATCACATGATGAAACATCCTATGCCTCACTCTAACTTTATTGTGTTCTCATTAAAGGACACTGGGTGGATGACCAGAGACATGGCTATGGACAGTATACATATGCAAATGGAGACACCTATACTGGAGAATGGTTTAACCACAATAGGTTTGTTTCATTCTTGCAGTGATGTTTCAAGTCACCCAATGACACTAAAACACGAAGGTTGTTTTCAAAGCATGGGTGACTGCAGCAAATCAAGTGCTACGGGATGACCTTAGCAATTTAAGCAAACTTGAGTCATTTAAGCTACTTGAATAATGCATCTGTAATACCTTAAGTATAACAATATCCTATATTCTTAATATTCAGTAATATAAAGCATAATTATTATTTTCTCCTTAGGCATGGACAAGGTATATACGTCCATAAAGACACAGGATCTAGGTACGTTGGTGGCTGGGTAAATGGAAACCAGGAAGGAGAAGGTGAACTTATCCACCTAAACCATAGATTTAAGGGCAAGTTTTTGAATGGAAATGTAAGTGCGCTGGAAAACTCTCTATTCATCTTAACAGTAAGCATGGACTTGCCTTAATATGATCTGTTTCCACTTAAAATAAGAAGCTAGTCTCCCAGTCTTTTGTAGTATTTCTGGTACCATAAGCATAATAGAAGAAACCGAATTAATCTGCAGGACAGAATGCCATGATTCTCTGCAACTTTTCTTTCAAACTATATTGTTATTGACTATTGTATAAATTTTGTAATAAAGCATTTTTACATGTATGTGCTTAGAATGTACTACCTTTATGGTTCTGCTGACTTTTTTGTATCTTTGTGCAGCCTGTAGGTCGTGGGAAATATGTCTTTGATATTGGATGTGAGCAGCATGGTGAATACATACAATCAGAGCAGGTAAAATAAATAGTGCAAATTATACTGAATATCAGAGAACTCAGTAAATCAAAACTATTGTTGAGTATTTTGTAAAATGCCTTATAGATACTGATGTTAAACTAGATCTAACCAGTCAAGAAAGGGTAGAAACTCACACATTCTTAAGAACTAAATGAGGTTTCATTTTGCTTTTTTCTTCTGCTTCTTTACTGTGTAAACTTTGACAAGCAAAAGGTGTGATTTTTGCACTACTTCCAGAGAGGAGTCCTTTCTGCTTAAAGTTTAGAAGAATCAGAACCTTCCCCAAACATATGAAGTTTAAAACCACAGAAGAATGTATATGTATTTTTCTGTACGTTTAGCCTGCATTCCACTTTGTTCTGAACACCAGAAAACAGTGAAAAATATTTCTCCTTATATTTCTGAATTGCTTGATGCTATGCGTACAAATGATAATTTCCAGTGGATTTGTGTTTTGGAATTATGTCCTGTTGTTGTCTTGGTCCTGTTATGAGCTTAATATCCACAGCTCCGAATAATCATCGGGGCCTGTTTTTCCTTTTCCTTCATGCATGAGTGTTTTGAAACATTCCTGACTAATATGGTGCAAAATAGCTATAGAAATAAGAAATATTTCTTGATATTACTGCTTTGATCTCAAGAAAATATGCCACATTTTAGCTTAGAGTTTGCTACCTCCGTTGTCTGACACATTAGTTCCCATTGCACCCTCTGAAAATTCTCCAGTGCAGCAACTGTTTCTTAAGACAAGGATAAAATAATAATAATAATAGTAAGCCTATCATTAGTGATTGAGATTTACAAAACATGGAGACTGTTTTGGTTTTTTGGCTAAAAGCAAGAGATCCTCAAATTATCAGATTCATATGAGTATTCAAAGTGATGTGCATCTAGTGTCTTCAGTTCAGTTGGAAAATGTTGGATATACTGATTTTGAAATATCAGGCCATTGATGTGGGAGTTTAAACATGAATTTAAGAACCCAAGGCTAAACATTGAGTTTCTGAAAATCATTAGTCTCAGGAATAATAATTTATTCTCGTGTGAATGCTGTAGTGACTGTGTAAAGCAAGGGACATTGCTGAAGAAAAATTAAATCTTGCGTCTTTGCTTTAGTTGAAGTAATTGCAGAAGAAGGTCCATTTAAAAAAAATTAAGAAATTAGCTTGCAATACAGATAATTATTCCATTATAATACTCCTTCATATTTGGAAAAAATAAAACATGATCTTTGTTTTTTAAATTATCTTTAAATTTCAAAAACATAAGCTTTGTACAGTACCTTACTGCTTACTAGGTCCATTCTAAAGTCTTCCCTAAGCAAAGGTTGAGAAAGAAAGAACAGTTTTGCCACTCTGTTCCTGGGTGAGATAGATGGTATAGCATCTACCAGCCAGAGCACCGGGTCTTATTTGCCAGAGTTATATGGTAGAGAGGCATGGAAGAGGAGACATAGTTGATAGGCCCCTCACAGACATGCTGTTTAAGGAAGACACAAATTTTTACCTTAAATAAAGCAAGCTGGCAAGCATTGATCATTAGTATAAGTCAACTGATTGCATCAAGGTTCATATTGTAGTTCTCTCCCAAGACTGGCGGCTGCTGAAGTTCCTCCACCTGTAAACACTTTAAAAGGCTTCGTCACAGCCCAGATAAAGAGGTTTTAGTACACAAAACTATAATCTTAGTTACTTAATACCTGTAAGATGAGATGCTGGATTTCATGAGTTGTCTTCTAGGATAAAGGAGAGGGAGAAGGAGAGGGAGAAGAAGAGGAAGATCCCTCATTACTTGTTGCACCAAAATGGAAAGTGTCAGAAATTACCAAATTAACATTCTGGACTCCCCATGGGGAAAACCCACCTTCTCCCAGAAAAGCCTCCCTCGTGGCAGCAGCAGCAGCAGAATCAGTGGAAGAAAAAGAAGCAGCACCACCAGTAGTCGAAGAGGGGAAAATACCAACCATTGCAGGTTTGTTCTGCTGGACAGCTGGAAATTCCATGCTTTGACTATTCCCTGAAACCATGTTTTTCAGGTTTAATATCAAGTGCTGAAGTGCTGCGAGGGTTGGTTTTGGTGTCCCCGCCCGCCCCAGACTTTACTATTCATTTTATTGAATGTTAGGAACTTCCACGTCTGTTCATAAACTGCACAATATATACATGACTGTTTTATCTCACATAGCATAATGAGATACAAATGTCTTGGGAAGCCTGTGAATCATTTTAGTCTATATCATGGCCTGTTATACAAACTTGATTGTAAAAAGTTACAGAAGATTTTGTGTGATTTCTCATGTGAGTAAAGACTGCAGACTTCTGTAGGAGTTATTAGCTACTGCATGAAAACAATGGCTGAGTGCAAAATTGTAAAATTAATTTTCTTTGGTATTTCTAATGTCCCGTATTTCAGTCACTGATGAGTCTGCTGAGGGTAGGGATGATGAGCCTTCTCTTCATGAAGTATCCGGTGAAGTTTTTAGCCCATCAAGGGATGCAGGAGAGGAAGATGAGGGAAGCAGAGATGAAGAAGAAAACAACGATCCGGAAGATCAAGGTGAGGAATGGGGCATGCATACTCATTCTTCAATTAGCAATCAGGGTTTCAAATGGTGTATGTCAATCAGCTGAAGTCATGCTGCTGAGACATCCATTATCAAGCTGAAGAGCCCATGGGAATCTCTACCCTTCATAAGGGGGGAAGTCTTCTATACATGTAAACTGGTTTTGAGTAGTCAAGTTCATATACTGTAATAGTACAAATTATAAGTGACACTGATGTGCAGCATTGTCTATGCACGTACAATTGACAGCACTTGTATAGCTGAGTTCATAAGTGGTTGCATTTTCAAACTTTTTTTTTTTTTTGTACAAAAATGAGAGAGATTTCAGACCCTGAGAAATTCAGGGGGTTTTGAGCACTCCACTTTTCTCTCATGAATGCAACTGCATATTCTTATTCTCTCAGCTGAGGTTAACAAGTAGGCAAAACAAATCTGAAGAAACACATTTGAGGTATTGTTATGCATTACGGCTTGAACAGTCTCTGGTTGATTTGTTTCTCCTACACACCAAAGAGATTTGGTATTCATACACTCAGTTTTTCTTCCAAGCAGTTCAGAAGCCTGTTTTAAATACAAAATTACTAAGAAGCAACAAAAGGATGCACCTCTGTTTGCTCTTACTTAGCCTATAGGCCTCCACCAAATTGTGTTGTTCGTGTTTATTAAGTGTTAACATTTACAAGCTTACATATATGATGCATGAAAACATAAGAAAAATTTATCCACTTGTAATCAGTCCATTTCACAATAAATCAAAACAAGCACTATCCGTAGGGATCAGAAAATGAAAATAAACCCAGTGAAAATGCCTGGAGGTATACACTAGAAATAGGTCAGCTCTTGGAATTTTCATAGTTTATTTGCTCTCATTTTTTACCCATCACCTCTGAAGGTGCTCTCGTGTTTCAGGGCAGACTAGCCAGCTAGTTGATATGGTGTGTAGGACCAGCTCTTAGGGGATCCCTGGGCTTGGATCAGATCCAGCAAAAATCTCAGCAGGCTTCCTACATTGCTCTGCTTTGGATTTGGCAAAAGTTCATTGAGCCTCGTTTGTCTCCAAGCCTCTTGGACTCAAATAACCATTTTTGACTGAACTTGAGTCTAACAAATTTTCTGGCCTACCACAATGAAGTAGTTCTAGTATTCCCACTGTTTTTTTGTCATTTCTTTTTTTTTTTTTTTTTTTTTTTAAAGAATAAATGGACAAAGTACCTGTCAGAGACAGCATAGATGCAGAGTCCAATCCAGGAAAGCGTAGGCATTTGATAGATGTTCTCAAAGTTCTTTCCAGCTTTTTATTTCTAGAATCAAAGAGCTGGATTTTATACATTTTTCAGCATAGGTCCATATCCATAGTTAACTAGGCAACATATTATTCCCCTTGTCTTTATGTTTAGCAAGTTCATGTTATAGTAAGAGGAAATGATTTGAAGAACATATGCATACTGTGAAGAACAGGTGTAACAAAATCTGGTTTCTGGCTGCCTTGTATTCTCTGTCCCATTACCATAACTTTTTTTCCACACAGGAATTCCATCCTTCTTGCTCCATGTTTCTTATGATACTAATCTAAATAGGAGGCACTCTTTGGCTATTCCAGAATTACATATGGGCTGGCTGGCAGTCAATATGTGTGTACCAAGTCTGTCTGGTAGCTGACAAACAATGTATAACAGTTACATTCAAGTATTGGCAGTGAAAAGCAGTGGGAAATGACTGAGGTAGACAGCATAGTCCTAGAATTATGTTTTAGGTTACTAGGATTACTTTCCAGCATTTTATAATAAAATGCATCTCTATGTCCTGTCTTTCCTTCGCCTCCACAGGAACTACCAGTTTAGAGGAAAAGGAGGATGAATCAAAGGAAGCAGAGTAATTGGATACAACTAAAGACAAAGAGCCAAAAAAGGGGAAATTTCAGAGTAAATAATTTATTATGGTAAACCTGCAATATTTTTATTCATAAGAGGCTGAGTTTAGATACTTTGAATAAACATTTCTGTTACTCTTCTGTCTGGGATATGTATCTCTCAAACTTATGATCTCAGAGCATGCAGTCTCAGGACAACTTTCTTTATTCTGTGTAGCAGGTAGTCATTTGTTGAATTCAGTATGGGAGTGTTCTGGATACATGAAATTGTGTTCTCACAAGTTTGCAGAAGCAATCTTCTCTCACTACTGTTAGTTTTTCTCTTCCTTGAACCCTGCTTCTGGGCACAGAGACTTGGGGGTCTTGCTTGCAAAGACAAAGACAAAGGCAGCATCAGGCTTCCCAGCTCTGTCTTTATCCCCTGTCACTAGACCACCAGTTAGAGGCTTACATTTTCTTTGTTTATTCTTTTACAGTTCATGTAGCTGTGAAAGCTCTTCTTGTTGCTCTAAATCTCCCCTTGCCAGTTTGAACTCAAGCTGAATTTTGCTTTCCTAACACACTGGTGCAGCTCTTGTGGTTTAAGCCCATCTAAGCACCACGCAGCTGCTCGCTCACTCATCCCTCTCCCGGTGGGATGGGGAGGAGAATTGGAAGAACAAAAGGTAAAACCTCGTGGGCTGAGGCAAGGACAGGGAGGGATCACTTACCGATTACTGTCACAGGCAAAACAGACTTGACTTGGGGAAACAAAATCAATTTAATTTGTTAACAACCCAAACCAGAGTCAGAAAATGAGAAATAGAACCACACCTTAAAAAGACACCTTCCCCTCACCCCTCTCTTCTTCTTGGGCTCAAAAACTTCATTCTCGATTTCTCTATCTCCTCCCTGCCAGCAGCGCAGAGGGACTGGGAATGGGGGCTGTGGTCAGTTCATTATATATTGTCTGTGCTGCTCCTTCCTCCTCAGGGGGAGGGCTCCTCACACTCTTCCTCTGCTCCAGCGTGGGGTCCCTCCCACGGGAGACAGTCCTCCACAAACTTCACCAACATGAGTCCTTCCCATGGGCTGCAGTTCTTCACAAACTGCACAGAGTCACAGCCTCCTTCAGGCACAGCCACCTACTCTGGTGTGGGGTACCACATGGGCTGCAGGGGAATTTCTGCTCTGGCACACCTCCTCCCCCTTCTTTCTTCACTGACCTGGGTGTCTGCAGAGTTGTTTCTCTCATATCCTCCTCCTCTCTCCACTGCAGGTTCTTTCACTGGCTCCTGAAGAGCTCCTGGATGCAGCAGGAGCTGCACTGGGTGGGTGGGCAGGTGGTACTGCACCCCTCTTAAATATCTTTTTCACGGAAGTGCTGATGGGCTCGCTCTTGGCCAGAGGTGGGTCCAACTTGGAGCCAGAGAAGCTTCTAGCAGCTTCTCACAGGAGCCAGCCCTGTAGCCCCCCCCCCCACTACCAGAACCACGCCACACAAGCCCAACACAGCAGTGTTTTTAAATTATTCTTTGTAGGCTGTTTTTTACTTCAATTTTTGGTATATTACTACTTTTTTGTGTTGCAGCTCAGTTCCAAGTTTCTTGTTTATCTTGTAGCCTTCCTCAAGCTCTTTAAAGGAGACTGTCAACTGATCAGGGTGAGGAAGTGGATCTGTAACAAGTTCCCAGCACTGTGCCACACTTAATACCCTTGCTCATCCACTGGCTCTCAACCAGCATGTTGTCCACAGTACAAAAGAGCTGCATGCATTCAAGCTTCTTCATCACATAGAGGACAACTCTGCTCATTTTCCCTTTCTGTCTTTGCTAATGAGCCCTTCATTCATTGGAGAGCCCCTGTTGTGTGAGCTGTCCCACCATGTTTCAGTTTTTACAAGGATGTTACAGTTCTGCATCTGTACACAGAGCAGTTCCTAGCTCCTCCTTTTTGTTTCCCAGGTTGGATCTATTGGCTCCCTTTTGACTTGTTTCATCTTTCCCAAGGGATATCTTGCTCCCATCACCCTGCTCATTTACTTACCACCCCTGAACTCCATTCCTTTACTTAACGTAAGCAGTTATCACCATCCTCCAAGGTATAAAGTTTAAGTCTCTCCTCACTAGGTTTGCATGTGGGTCGGGGCAATCCCAAGCGCAAATTCTGTCTGGGCAGAGAATGGATTGAGAGCAGCTCTGAGGAGAAGGACTTGGGGGTGTTGGTTGATGAGAAGCTGAACATGAGCCGGCAATGTGCACTTGCAGCCCAGAAAGCCAACCGTGTCCTGGGCTGCATCAAAAGAAGCATCACCAGTAGCTTGAGGGAGGTGATTCTCCCCCTCTACTCTGCTCTTGTGAGACCCCACCTGGAGTATGAAATACTAGGGCCTGAGCAGTGAGGCCCTGAACCAAAGCTGACCTCTAGATGAACCTCACAACCTAACAATATATCTGATATGTATAATATTGAGCACATATGCAATGTATTATCATATGAGTATATGGGAATTTATGAAAGTTTTGTTGTAACACTTACAGAGCATTGCTGTAGCGCTTGCTGTGTAAGGTTAGTCAGCAGAAAAGTGCTGGTTGTAGTCACATTTGTTGAAAACAGATATGCCTGTCGCAACCAAAAAACAGATATGCCTGTTGCAACCGAAAAACAGATATGCCTGTCGCAACCGAAAACCAGATATGCCTACTGCAACTGGCAGAGGTAAAAGGATGTAGCAGGGCCATGACAGGTTTTGTTGAGAGATACATAATCAGGATTACCAGATGCTATTTACCTTTGCTAACTTCCTTCTCCTGTTCTGGCCAAACTCGAGACAAAAGTTAACAAGGAATAAACTACAACAGATGTTTTTCGCAGTTTAAGATGTAAAGTTGTTTATTCAACTGTATAAAAGCAGGGAATGTTTGCAGGGACATTGGGACGCCCCATCTATACAGCGGACACATTGTATAGAAATTTCCCAACTGCCAGGACAGGTTCTCCAAATCCTCACTGCACTAGGCTCCCCAGTGACTGCGGATCTGGATGATGGTGAAGTATTAGGGCAATTGGTGATGTATCTTTCTTAATCACTATTGCTAACTCTATGTAGTAATGATTAGGTGCATTACCTTATTTTATACTTGCTATAGTAGTTTGCTTTTTATTTTGTTGCCTTACCTTATCTTGCTTTGATTTATTTTCACTGTATTATTTTCCTCATTATTTTATCACTTTAAACATAAGTGAAAATTAGCTTACTTCTTTAATTTGGTGCCCGTATCCTTTGTGCTAACCCCGTTGATTGGCAAAACAGAGTACTGCATCCAGCTCTGGAGTCCTCAGCACAGGAAGGACATGGACCTGTTGGAGAGAGTCCAGAGGAAGGCCAAAAAGATGGTCAGATAGCTGGAGCACCTCCCATATGAGGACAGGCTGAGAGAGTTGGGGTTGTTCGTCCTGGAGAAGTCAAGTCTCCAGGGTGACCTTACAGCAGCCTTCCAGTACTTAAAGGGGGCCTACAGGAGGGATATGGAGGGACATTTGACAAGGGCATGTAGTATTACGACGAGGGGTAGTGGCTTTAAACTGAAAGAGGGTAGATTTAGATTAGATATTAGGAAGAAACTTTTTCCTGTGAGGGTGGTGAGGCACTGGAACAGGTTGCCCAAGGGGTGTTCAAGGCCAGGCTGGATGAGGCTTTGAGCAACCTGGTCTAGTGGAGGGGGTCCCTGCCAACGCCAGTGGGGTTGGAACTAGATGATCTTTAAGGTCCCTTCCAACCCTAACCACTGTATGATTCTATGACCCCCCCTGGCCAAGGCCTGTCTAGGCTGTCACCACTGATATGCCAAGGGTACTTTCTTCACTGGTGCTGGAGATCAGACCCAGTAGCTCATCAACACTGGAATTGCACAGTCCCATACTGTTTTCAGGAGAATTTCTGCCTTTCACCAACACCCACACAAACTACCAAAAGCTCTACTTGCTATATTCCCACCTCGTAGCTGAATAAGCATCCCTATAGAGGAGACAAAAACCAGTCCAGCACCCTGAAATCAGCAGGCAGCCAACTACTGAACATGCAGGTCCTTTTAAATCAAGACCCTGTCAATCAGGAGCCAGCAGGAGACAGCAGCTGCAGAAGCCCCCTGGAAGCCACCAGGATCAATGCCATTGTATAAATGGTAAGTTAAAAGTACGGAGAAAGGCAGAACTGCACCAAGTATTGTACAAGCACTAAATGTCATGGACAGATCTTTTCTCCTCTTCTGCAGATGAATAAAGCTACTCTGAAACATTTTTCTCCTGATAATATGTAAGCAATACTTTAATTATTAACATATGTATCTGTCTGACTTTGATTAACTCTCTCATACTGTGAGAATATTGGTATGAATGTTGATGGGCATAGAGGCTGAGGTAGAGAGTTGCCAGCCAGTAGCAGTTTGCTTTTGAAGTAAAATCACTGGTTTTGGCCCAGCTGGGATAAGAGATGTAGTGATATTGCTGAAACAAGATCTGCATTTTTTTATTCTTCATCTCAGAGCAGGAAATCTATACTAAAATTTTAGTTTAGGGAAAAAAAAGGAAAACATTCTAACAAGTTCCTTTTTTTAACAACTCACAGTGTCAGCAAACGTATGCCCAGAAGTTTGAAAGGTAGTGAATAGATTAAGAAAAAGTAGAGATAAGGAAACAAGTCATATAAATGGAGTTCATTATTTCTTCCTGCATTTTTTTTCCTTTCAGAAATGTCATAGTGAGAAAATTCCCATGCAATCTTTCCCCTCCTATCTTACATGTAATTTTGTTTGCAATTTCTTATCACACTGATGTGACCTCAGTGAGCATTTTTAGAGGTGGCTATCTCTTCCTCTTTTTGCTTTCTTTGGCAAAGAGATGTGCTGCATTTCCATTATTACTGTGTCTAGATCAAAGCAAAGTTTGTGTGCTAATATTTTTTTTTGTCTTTTATAAAAAGAAATAAAAATCATTAGTTTACTTGCTAGTTTTAATATATTCTGCTGCAAATTTGTGAAATATTCACACAATGTATTTCCCAATTCATTTCCATTTTAAGGTAATCGTCAGTTCAAACTGTGTTCATTCTTGGATGATTTATGAAATTACTTTCTCTTCTGCAGCAGCCAGTACTTTTCTGTTTATTAGTACATGAGTGACCTCCAGTGGTATAACTGCAAAAATTGCATCCTGTCTGGAATTCAATCAATAACAGCTAAGAACATCTGGAATTCTCTAATGTGCTAAAAAGGGCTCCCAAGAAGATGACTTGCTCCTTTTGGAAACTGCTGGTGTTTTTGTCAGAGGAGATACTTAATTTCACTGTATTTTCCAGAAATACCTTAAAGATAATTTGGAAACTAGTTAATAGTAGTTCCTTCATTGGAAAAATCAGGAACAAAACATTCATAGCATTTTTTTTTATCTTGCTTTTCAGAAGAACTGGACTCAAGTGTCTCTGCAAGCAGAAAGTACTCCCAAACGTTATTATAAATTTCTATGTTACTATCATTTAAAAGTATATGGAAGGTGCATTCTTGTTCGAAAAAATGCTGCTCCTCCTCCCCATCCCTCAATCACACCAGATCTTTTTTAGTCATGTAATTTTGAGGTTGTGTTTTCCCACAAGGTGTCACCATAGATTAACTCCACTGTAGGTCTTTCTCAAAATAATTTATATTTTCAGTTTTTAAGATAAAATCAAAGTATTCAGATTCTCTAGGTAGTACTAAAAGCATCTATTAAAATTAAATAGATCCAGCTAAAGAAAATTGCAATGGAGTAAAACAACATCTATTTTTTGAAGTTGGGTAAAAAAATCAAGAAGCTAGAATTTCCTACTTCTTTTTTTTTGCTACAAAAACAACTTTAAAGCTTTCAAGGACATTTTCTTCATTTTACCTGTGTTCTGAAGTAAGTTTCATGTTATGAACATGCCACATTAGTAACTCTTTCTCTCTCCTAAGCACTAGATTTTACAGTGAAGAACCCTTGTACATTAAAGATATAATTTCTGCTCTGATCCTAAAAAGTGTTCTTTAGAGGTGAACCTTTGCTCACATGGGGTCCCAGGAAAGTGAAAATGGCAGTCCTTCTGAGTAGAAGAGCTTGTCCTTGCCCTTTTGCTATTAAGACTGAGATATAGGTTCAATGGCTTGCTGTTTCTGCTGCCTCTTCTTTCTGTTCGATAGAAATAGAGAAGTCTTTCTATGTCAAGACAGTATTTTGCGCCTAAGCATTTGTCCTCACCTGCTTAGCACTGGATTAGAAACCACCACAAGAGAAATATTTAAGTACCCCTACCCTCTCTTGTGCATGCTCTGAAGTTTAATTCATTTCATTCCTTGAAGTTAAATTCATTGGAGTGCCTCTGTATTGAAAAAAAGAAAAAAGCAGAGGGGGATTTTGGTTCAAGTGTCTTAGCAATCTGCCTGTTAAGTATATTCAGTTTGCAAACAGTGTTGTTCATGCTCTGTGAGCATTTGATTAGATGCCAAGATTGGGTGAAGCGGCTGAATCCTTCCCATATGCACCTGTAAGAAAGGTCCTGCCGGTCAGAGAGGCACTCTCCCCAGCTGTGTCCATCTCCCCTCTCAACTCCTGCCTCTCGGGCAGCCTGCACACACTTGTTTCTGATAGGAACTTTGATGGTCAAGAACAGGATTAGAGTGGAGTAAACTGGCTTTTAGTAACATTATTACTGCAGACCAAAAGGAGTGAAAAGCAAAGGGAAGTATTTCATTGCTGTGTTGTACACAGCAGCAGCATTGTATGAAAGCTGTTCAAAGAAAGGAGGTGATGCTGTTCTTACAGGTTACTTTTCAAAACAGACCCACCCTGACAATATTTCTGATACCACTGGGTGAAGGGAGAGATGTCATTTGGTATTTTATTTTGGTGTTTCAAAAAAAGACCCAGATTCTTAACCAAAACTGGTATTTGCAGGACAATCTAGGAGTAATATATAAGAGCATTACGGAAAAAAAAAAAAAACAAACAACCAAACAAACAAAAAAACCCACACAAAACCCAAATATGTTATTTCTAAAAAGGCCAGAGAAAAGTTTCTGATTTGAAGCATTTTAAATTTTATGTCACTAATTCTTTAAAAACGACCAGTCTTTGAAGTGGTTCTTAAGACTCCTGTTCCTGAAGGAAGTTTCCTTTTTCTCTTTCTTGTCAGTTGGTGCCAACTCCATACCCTGCAGGCAGGTGCATGGTGTAAGGAGGAGAGCACAGGTCTGGCCTGCCTCTCCTTATCTGCTCCTGGATCTGTTCCCAGGTGGGCAGTGTACCATCATGCCCCGTTTTCATGGGGTGTCATTTAAGCAGTGGGCATTTTCCCTTCCCACCTGAACCTGGGCATCACTGTTGCTCCCACCCATCCATATCCTCACCTGGGTTTTTTTTTCACTTCAACCAGCCTCCCTGCCTGGGCCACTGAGCTCAAGACCTCCTCTTATGCAATATAGTTGCATAGACATGGAGACTGGAGAAGAAGGGCACTTCACACGACTTGCCTGTGTTTCTTATCATGTAGAGAGGAGGGATCAGTCCCAAGGCTGGAGCAACTCAAAAGGCCAAAAGCACAAAGGCTGAAACCTGGGACACAGACTGCAAAAGCTATCTCAAAAAGTGGCTTTTCAGAGGTGAGGGACAACTGCAGCATGGACCACAAGTACAGACTCTACCACATGTTAAAACAGAGCCACGTCCCTGTCCAGAGGCTTTATCCCTAAGCAAAACTCGACCCAGAAACACACACCAATGCCCGCACAACCCTAGCACCCCCGCACACCCTCAAGCCCTGGTCAGAGCTGGGACCATCTCTCACAAGTGGGTTTCAGTCTGGGGTGACAGGTACTCATATGACACCTGTCGTATGTCTTGAAATCACTTGAAATCAGAGCAAATCACACCAAAAGCAACAGCTTCCAAAGAGAGGAAAGCCCTAGGGGAGCACTGTGAGCTGGGAGCTGACTCCTCTGTGGGCATTGAGCTCGAACTACCCTGCAGCAACTGGTGATGTGCCATGCCCAGGGCCCGGTGTGTGCCTTGTGCCACCCCCATCGCCCCACTGTCCCCATTTCCACCTCCCTTCCTGCTTGGCCAGGTTCCTTGGTGAGGGACCGAAGGGGCTGAATTCACCATCAGAGGGTTGGGCTTGCCCCCACAGCTGGGGCTGAGCCCAGACCAAGGGAGCAGGTCATGGGATGGGAGATCCTTGCTGGCTGCTGTTAGCATGGGTAAGTGCAAGGCAGAGGATGTTGCTCACTCCCTCATCACCTTGCTCTTCCCCTAAGTGCTGATTTTCTTGTGTTGTACGGCCCTTTCTCAGTTAAAGCTCTGACTCACAGCCCTCCCTGAAGACCACAGAGGAGCCTTGCTGCTGCCTTCAGGGCTCAGTGCAAAATTGTCCTTCACCACATCTGTTCCTCTCAGCTGACAGCAAGTGTGTGGTGGGGTGAGATGTGGAGAAGCAACCAAGCCACAGTCTTCTCAGTGCTGCAGTGGCATCCTGCTCCCCTGGAGCAAGAAGAGGCTGTGATGGTACTTGGGGTTTTTACCCTTTTCTGAGGCTGCATCCAAAACCACCTATCTCACGAGCTGTAACCAGCAATGCAGTCCTATGCCCTTCCTTGCATCGCTTGCTGGCTAAAGAGCTGCTGTTTTGGCCCCGAGGCATTTGATTTTCACTTTAAAATTACAATGCTGTCAGAAAAGCAGCAGCTCAGGCAACATCACCAGATCTGGAAAGTCAAAATGAATCATTTCAGGTGCAAGATGGAGACACGAAATCTCCACACCCACAGACAAGGGTGCTTGTCAGACACCTCTCAGCTCCAAAGCCTGAATGTTGGATGGGCTCCATCACATGCCCTGATGGATTAATGGCATGCATGCAGGGATACGTCAAGAAGGAGCAGGGAGATGAAGAGTGAAAATGAAAACATTTTTAGTCATGCTAAGAGAAACCTGAATTTTTTCCTTTTACTGAACGAAACACTTGTGCTTTCCCAGAAGTAGTTATCTGGGAGGATAACTAGAAAGGAAAATTGGAAAAGAAAACAGATTACGGAAAGGCATGTTCCTGTTTGTGCATAAAATTTCAGGGTGACATTCCCTTAATTAAACAAATCCCCCAAAGAAGAGCTACAGAGACCTCTCGGGTGACCCATCTGGTAGGTGTGTCACCATTTATACAGTTTGGCCGGGAACAGGACAAAGCAAAGCTGTTGTCCCGTGAGTGCCATCTCAGGAAGTGTTCAGCAGTTAGAATTGCTCATGCCACAGTTTTGTCACCAGTACAGTAATGCAGGATGTCTTTCTTTGTCTTAGCAACAGTAAAGCAATCAGTTTTCTTCGAAAAGGAATCATTTAGTCCCTTTTGCAATATGGATCACTTGGGAATTGCTGAATGGGGAGCTGTTGTGATAGAAAATGGACCCCTTTTGTAGAAGAGGTAAATAAATAGTCAGTGTGGTATTTGCTATTGCAGAACTGACTGAACAGGAAACCCAGTGGCTTTAGGCAGAGCTGGTCTCCTCTTCGGGTAGGAGATGACTTTTTTTCAGTCACAGATTCTCTGCTTGTCTGAAAATGTCCAAGTGCATGAAAAAAAGCAATTCTTACTGGATGTATTTTGATCTCAGAAAATGTTACGTTGTCTACTTTAGTGCTTTAGCAGTGGAATTTATAATCAGGTAGTTCTGTATTTATTAAATGTTGGTACTCTCAGAAAAGGTTAAAAGGTACTTTCTTCACCACCAGAAGAGTTATTTCTCACTTGCATGCCAGTTCCTAGCTTCCTTCTTCTCAGCCACCAAAACAAAAACAAAATTCAGGTACCACACTCGGAAGTGTTTTTCTATGTTTTGACAACTCCGAGAGGGTATTTCCCACCTTCTGTAAGTGTTCTGGATGAATCACTGGACTGTGCTGAACCATAACCTGTCTTTGATTCGTTTTTGACAAAAGCAAAGGCAGAGCCGGCCTTCTAATCTTCCACAATACCATTTCTCCAGTTAAATGCTGCATTTGCTCCATGTGTTAATGTCTTCACTGGTGGGTTGACCATCTGCCATTTGTTCTCCTCTTTCAGCTCTTCGCAGAAACACATGCCGAGTGAAGGGATCTAGGAAAGAAGTTACCAGCAGAGTTACCAGCAGGGTCATTGCTTTGACATGAGAGAGGGGGCTTTGCTACAGAAGAGAGCAGACCCTGAGACTGTTCTGGGACGACAGACCAAGATATTTTGCCACTTCTGAAATTAACTAAAACCAGACTGGAGGCTTGTGAGGTGAAAGCTGAACTTGCGTCATCGCTACACATTCATACCTGGATTTGATGATGAAAATATATTCACTCTTTCTTATGCATTGACAGTGGTAGTAAAAATATATCTAAAGACTGATTTCTCTGGTTGGTCATACCAAGGCAGTAAGGAAAACTGTGAAGAATTCTGACACTGGTGATAATGTAAAGAAAACAAAAAAACCCAGCAACCAAGTCTCAAGCACAGGCTCCACTTGTGAAGCCAGCAAGAAAACCCTTCTCCAGTTTATTCTGTAGCTGAGCACTGAAGCTGTAAACTTACAGTGACTTGAAAAACACATAGCTTCTTAAAGTACAGATCACACTCACAACACCATGGGGAGAAGGAAGGGTCTTAGCCCTGTTTCTAAAGGAAGGAGGTGGGCTCCATAAGGTTTCCAAATGTGCCTCTTTTCTGTAGGTGCTACCTGGCATTAACTTTCCAGGTGAGCTGAATAAAAATCTTCTCCAAAGACTTAGCTGCTAGTGAAGTACTGTTCACCAGGAGAAAATGCTTCTCTTGACTTCCAGTGCTTTACTAAAACTACATGAGATTCCCTTTGTAATGAGAAAGCTAATGTCACTGGTAATGTCACTGGTATTGGCATGCAGTTACATGCATGTCTCATCATGTAAGCAGGCTCCTTATTAAAAGTATAATAAAATAAAAAGAGAGCTTCCTGATGAAAAAAATCTTCTTACCTTTCGTACCACCTGGGCAAAGTCACTGCTGTCTCTGGCAGGTAGCCCCAGCAGAGGTCGGGTGAAAGATGCCAAGGAAGAGCCATGGCCCACAATAAGGATGACACCTGGTACAGCAGAAAAAGCAAAGAAAAAGTAAGAGAGCTGCAGCACTCTGAGGTTACCCATCAGCAAATGGGTATGAGGCTCTTTTGGGGCTGTTCATCTTTGCAGACCAATTTGATAATGTGACAGGGTGTATTGTGTTGATAAGAAAAGGTCTGGTGTGTTGTAGGTGTGACAGCTAGTGAGAGAAAGCATTTGCTAGGAAAAGATAAAAAAAAAGCTTTCCAGAAAAGTACATTATTTTATTCTGAGCTACATCCTGATGTAGAAAGACCAAGAGTATACCCTTGCAATTTAGTACTGTAATGTCTTCTGTTTAATTTTGCTTTTTCATTTCTAGCCCATAAATTGCACATTTAGTGTAGCCCAGGAAAAGGACCAAGAGTCTACCTTGGGCTCTGTGCAATACCAACAACTCATTTTAAATGTGCTTCTGCTGGCAAATCTCTGCCAGTTGCTGTTACTGAAAGCATCTGACAGAATATACAGAGAAATGAAACCTTTACCTTTGCTGGGGCAGGCAGTGATGATCTGTTTTATAACCGCAGAACTTCTGTTTACATATTCTTCATAACTTTCCGATGGCACCAGAGAGGAGAGTGGGAAGTTAACCCTTCCAATAAAATCACAAATACATGTTAATCTAGATTAATACTGGGACACTGTTAGCACCATTGAATGACTACACCAGAGAAAAGGCACTTGGTTAAAAGGATATAGGTTTATCTACTGACTTGGCTGCCATACTGCTACCTCAGCTTGCATGGAGCATTAACTTCCCCAGCAGTAATTTCCATTAAATCTTACAGCTAAATCTCATAGCTCATAAAGGACCAGATGCAGAGAAAACCATGCTTTAATAAAACTTGTGGTTTACAGTGGAGATTATTTAAAGTAAGATTCACGCCTAAGAAAAGCTTAGTCTTTGAGAAATACTGTTGGCAAGGATCAGTGTCCAGCTATGGACTGCAGACTTGCGGAGCCACCCAGCTCTAGCAATCCTGATCGAGTTCAAACCAAGGCGAGACACTGATGATATGAATACTTTCAAGATTTGGTGCCTCAGTGTTAGTCTCCTTAATAAATAAAGCAAATAAAAATCAACAACTAATGAGGCATATCTGCATTAGCTGGACAAGTGGATAGTGAAGAGTTTCATTAAGCACAATGCACCACTCCTAAGTATCTGAGTATTTCTTCTACTGAGACCAGGCATTCTTTTTTTCGTTTATATACTGGATTCTTCAGGCACTGAATAATTTTTTTCCCAAAAAAGTAGGAGCCAGACCTTCAAAAGGCTGCGAATCAGGGTGGCCCCATAGGACTGGTAGGGCTTGATGGGTGCCATTCACCCTGCACAGACCCGTCCCGAGGCTCCGCAGCAGCTGCCAGGGCACTGGCTCCATCCCACCCCGGTGGCAGCAGGGAAGGGCCTGCAGGGCCCTGAAGCGCAGTGGCTGGTGGTGCCAAGGGTAGGCAGCTGGGAACACCAAATTCCTGATGACGGGAGGCCCTGACAGCCTTCCCAGAGCTGCAGGACAGGCAAAATAGTCAGCAGGACCACACCATTTACTGCCTCTCAGCAGGCTCCTGTCTTTGATATCTACCCACTTAGCTGATACTTGAATTGGGGCTTCTTGGCAGCAGAATACAACCTCCCCAACCTCACTTTTTATTTTTCAAGTCACCCTCTCGATCTGTCTTCTCTGGGAATGGGAAGTATTCACTGCTATACCTGGCAAATAGTTAGCAGTGTGTTGAGATACAATACAAGGTGTTAATATTTTTCCTATGAACAACTGCCCCCCTCTCTCCAATTTGATTGATTCCTTATTCAGTAAATAGGCAGGAGTGAGATTAGATTAATATATTGTAGTAAGGCATGGTATCACAGTGTACTTTCACAGGTGAGTTCTCGGTACATTATGTCAGCACAAACGGCAGAAGGAGAAAATAGGTGGTAAAACCATGTGAAAGGCTCGTGCTGGAAAGTTAATCGTAGCTAATATTAATCCTGGCTAGGTCGGACAAGTCTAGATTGGGGTACTCAAAACTAGTGTGCCTTTTGGCAGAGCTGCAAATTTTTTTTTTAATGTACTTTCCTGTTGGCACCTCAGTCCCTGCAGTATTAACCCTGTTATTAACCAGCCATCCTGCATCAGAACTGAGCGTCCCCAGCACTGGCCCAGGTGATTTCCAGGCTAAACAGCACCAAGAGTGCTCAGCCCCGGCTAAGGTGTTGGTGGGAGTGCTCGATCCACTTACGAGTGCTTCAGGGCAAGTGAGATGAGGACCAGCAAGTGAAAATCCAGTGAGGAGCAGTGATCAGGGGTCCAGAAAGCACAGCCTATGAGGGAGGATGGGAAGAGTTCAGCTCAGAAGAAAGGCTGAAGAAGGACATGATAACAGTCTGCAAAAGGCTATTGTGAAGAGGAAAGGAAGAGTCTGTCCTCCATGCAAAGGATGAAGAGGAAAGAAATAAGAGGCTTACACCGTGAATGGCAGTCTGAATGGCAAAGGCAGAGTTTGTTCTGCTCCGGGACAGGGAGTGCCTACCAATCCTCTGCTTCTGTGAGAGCATGAGAGGAGAGGGAGGCAGAGTTAATCTCACCCAGCCTTAGCTGCGTACAACTCAACTGTCTGGCCAGATCAATGGGGACAAGTAAGCCCCTTCAGAGGGCAATTCATGCTGTCTTAAGTGTCTGACATAGGCTATCTAAGATGAAAAATCACTGTCTTGGGAGTCTCCTCCTTTCCACCAACAAGAAGGCTGCTAGCTCACCATCACAACCTAGGCACTCAGCTCTTGGATGTCTGCAGCTGGGTGCGTTGAACCTCAAGGTGATTTCATCTCAGCACACAACACACAGGCAGCAAATGTTTCAGCACCACTTTTGTTGCCTCTTAGTGGCACTGGAAACAGGAGAATTTGGGTCAGGTCCACTGCTGACAGGGAACCATCAGGGACTTAATCTAGTTGAAGGATGTCATTTGCAGTATGGTAAAAATATCCCCGTGGGACCTGAGGATTTTGAACCCTGTGTCTGATGGGAAGAAACTGTGATTGTATGTGCAAGTTTATAGCTCATCCACCCTGTTTTCACCTGGACCTGAAAGAGCTGTGAGGGGTCTGAAGCCTGTAGTTAGCATCGCTTCAGAGCTTCCCCTGCGAACTTCCCACTGCTCTGTATTTGCACACTTTCACTTGAGGCAAGTGATTTTGTACTAAAAAAAAACCCCAGGGAAAACAGTCTGTTCGTGGTAAAACACACCAGAAAACACTACAATCCAAGAAAATGAATGGGTTTATTCCTTCATGCAATTTCAAATGAAGACACTTGCTTGGCTGTAAGAAATGCATGAAGATGTGAGAAGTTTCCTTCCCCCTTTCTTGTGTGTGTGGGAAACCCCACAGACACTCACTTTTATTATCTGAGTAATTTCCTGGATCTGGCTGTGCACTGCGAACACAGAGCAGACTGGTTTGTGAGCAAGATGAGGAGCTAGATCGAACTGGAGGCTTATCATTTCCTGCACTGCTGTGGTTTGCAAGTGCTCAGAAATGGCATCACCTCCCAAAGTTGTGAGGGCCCCAAAAAGTCCTTTCTGAGCACAGTATTAGTCTTTGAGCAACTCAAGACAAAACAACGCCCCTCCTCGACTGAATTTGGCACAAACATCAATTATAGTGAAACACTGTTGTCCTGCTTGCCCTCAAAGCCAGAAGGACAGCTGGCTTGTGTCGGGCTCGGCTCTCTCTCCCCAGGCCCTGCGTGGCTCTGCCCCGGGGTGCACGGGGGGTGGCCCCTTGCTTTCCCTTCCTCTTGTAGCTGCTGCTTCAGTGACATAAACTGGTGACGTTTCAGACGTGGAGCTGTGCTCCCTGCGACCTCCTAGCCTGCACTCTCCCTCTGCCACGAGGCAGACCTCTTGCTGCTGCCCTGCAGACCCTCAACAAACAGCTAACAAACATTTTCTGAAGTCACATTCCTTCATCGATGAAAACCAGCATGTTATTTACTCGAGAGGTTATTCTTCACGTTTCTAAAGTGTGCTTCACATGAGCCAAAGGTAAAATCAAAACTCCTGGTACCTGACACTAATGCCTATAATGCAGCGATGCTTGTGCATGACAAACCATGGGCCTGAGCCAGCAGATCTGAAGGTGACACCAAAGCAGGGCTGGTCCCATACACAACCATCAGATGTTTGTGCGTATGTAGGTGCACCCATGTGCTCTGTATGTGCATTTCGCCAAGCACGAGTGTGACTCTGTGTCAGAACAGGAACCAAAGTTGACTCTTGTCACAAGATAGCCAACAGCCTATCTTATATTGGGATTTGATCAGAATCACAGAGATTTTGCAATGTTCAGAAGGGTTTATGACATATAAAAAGATGAGGAGATACCTCAGGGAAAAAAACCCACTTTAACAGCTAGATACAGATCAATTACCTGTAACTTGCATCTATTTTGTAAGATGCCTCTGCCAGTTCTGTCACAGTCATGAAGTTAGGAATTACTCTGCTTGCTTCCCACTTGGTCCATTCAAACAGTCCTGGTTCCACCCTGATTTTAACTCTTTGATCTAGTTTAAGCCCTGTAAGAACAAAAAATATTTAAGAAGAGAAAGGTACACTTGAAGTGTAACACTCAGGCTATACATTCTTCCTTATTTGCTGTAATACTTTCATTAATGAAAATGAATTACTTATTGTCAAACAAAATCTTGATTAAATGAAGCCACCATTATGTTCTTGTCTGACTAACGCTAAGGCACTACACATTATCATTGTTATCACCATCATAATCATCATTATAATTATTATTTCTGGGGCTCTCTTGTGATGATCTGCAAGGAACAGAAGAGAATGGAAGAAAAGACCTCAGTAACATTGCAATCTGTATAAACATTAGAGAGGAAGTGTTTTTACCATTTTTAAATAACATTTTGCTCAGTGGTCCTTGGTGGGTCAATAAATTGTCCTACAGTGTTAGAAATGGAATTCTCTTGTCAAAAGACACAGTATCTCGTTGATTATTCTCGAGAGGTTACTGAGTGGCACTAGTTTCCAGAAGAAATGCACTCCCATCATAATTCTGATATAAACATAGCAGTGAACTTCTGACAGATCTGATGGAGGGGACAAGAGAGGAAAAAAGAAGAGAGGGAGGGGGAGAAAGAGAAGGAAAGAGATTCTGCAATATGAAGGAACTGAAATAGTTTGACTTGAAAATGTAAATGCTTTCAGGAGAAAGCTGTCTTTCCTGATTCACATACATATCCTTTAGAGCACTGGAGACATTTGCTTTTTGGCTCAGAATATTTTCTGGAAGACATGGCAGTGGTGATTTGATGAGCAACTACTAATGTTGAGTTCAACCTGATGTAAAATGCCTCTGTTTCATATAACATTAGGTTCCATTTTGACCAGTGAGGACTAGATCATACTCTGCAGCTAGACAAAACCACCTTGTCTTCCCTGCTTAAATGTAACAACAAATAGCCAGAAAGTTGAACATCTTCTTAATTGCTCATCTCTGAGACTTCACAGAAGTTTGACGAAGACATTTTCACTGCGGCAAAAGTACCTGGCTGGTTTTGCTGCCTTACCCTGCAGTACGTGCTGAGCTGTCTGTATGCAGCGGAGTGCGGGTGATGAGTACACGTAGCTGACTGTCACTGCCTGGTCCAGCAGAGCTTCCCCTGGATGGGAACAGCAAAGTGAGTTGCTCTTATACAAACTGCCATAGATGAGAAACTACTGCAAAAGACTTTCTGCAAAAAACAGCTTGGAGATTTCAGTTTCATTGATGAGGGGCAGATAGTCGACAGCCTCTTTCTAGTCATTTTTTCACACTGTCGGCTGACTGACCTCACTAGAAAGCTCATTCTGGTGGCAACAGCAGGTTTAACAGGAGTGCTGGAAAGATAATTACAGAAGATTCACCCCAAATCTGCAAACAGCCATTAGGCATTTGGCTAACTCCATACGCCTGAACCATCAGAGACAAGCATTTGCACCAGACTTGCATTGTCACAGTCGGGTGTGCTTGGTCAGGGAGCAGAAACAACTTCATCTGGTGACTGAGTTGACTCGACTAACCCATACCACCCAGCTGTCAGGTACCTGTGATGAGGTGACCACACTCTGCTCACCATGAAGCTTCTTCCTCTGACCAGCTCCTTCTCTCCTCACTGCTCATTCAGTGACAACTGCACAAGACATTAGTCCCTTGCAGACACGCAGTGGGGCACAGGTAGTGTTGCAGCTTCTTTTTTTTATCTTTCTTTGCCAGGAACTGGCAGAACGGGTCTCATAGATGGGCAACCAGCCCTGCTCTCTATTTTACTATGTAACAAGATCTTGCAGTGGTTTCCCGTAGAGAAGTGTCACCACAACTAGTGCTGCTAGGATATTTTTCTACTGCAAAGCCAGTGTGAGCTTTTGCAGATGATGAAAGCCTGCCTCCCAAACCCTTACATTTGCAGTAAGATGTTATCCAGCTTACCTATAAGCCTTGACTGGAAAATACCGCAGCAAGATAAAGGAGGATCATATTCAAAATGCTTCACGTTGTCTTTCCGCTTTGGCAGGGTAGAAGGGAAGTTCAGATCTGGTCTGTAGTATTTTCCTGAAACAAGGTGGGACATTTTGCCGTGGCACAAGGAAAGCAGGACCTGAACACATAGGTGGTATTTTGTTGTAATGGTTTTGTTTCTTCTGAATGGTTGGATAGCTGGTTCTGAAAACTCAGCCCAAATGGCATCTCGACTGGCAAATGGAACAGGTTGAGGCCTGTTCTGTAGCCATGAGGGCAAGTGATGAAGGAGATCATCTGCCCAAGGAGCTAGTCTCTTCCCTCCACCTCAAACATTGACTCTGCCTGTTCATGGGGGGGTTGACTATGGTCTGTGCTCTCCCCAAACCTCACCTGGAAACTATGTGGGCAAGGGGGAGCTGCCATCAGCTGAGACCACGCCAAGCAGACAGCTAATAACTAAGCAATCTAGGGGATCATGGGACAGTGCCTGAACTCAGATGCCTACAGGATTATTTTAGTGCTACAGACATAGTCAGTGTCTCACTGATGAAAAAAACCCGGTGACTGCTATTACCTTAAATAGATCAAGTTTTAAGGTGACAACACTGGCTTGGGAAATCACCTGTCCTAACAAAATAGCACCTCTTGTGCAAGCTCTGAAGGAGCAAATGGTGGGTAGGAGAGACAGGACAGAAAATTGTGAGAATTCATCTTTATGGGGCTCAAATGAAAAAATAAATCCACTCCATATCAATATTTGTTTACCATTGTCAAAAAGACAAAAAACAAGATTTCCACTGAAGAAAAATGAAACAAATGAATTGATTATGCAGCCAGATGGTACCACCCTCATTACCTAGCATGAATTTCACACACTTAATATAGGAGATCTCCAGCATAACAAAGGAGACTTTCAGCATAAAGCTCTCCCTTTTTGAACTCCCACCGTCTTGTTCCCCTCGTTCCTCCTGGCACACATTTCCCTGTTCTGGGCCAGTTTTCTTCCCATCAAAACATACTTTTTTCGAAAGAGAGGGCCAAGTAATTCAGCTTTTAATTTAGGTCAGTGCTGACATTTCATTTCCACCATGGTTTGCTCTTGCTCTTCTTCCCCAGGTTTGACTAGTGATGTACTGCGACTCTGACCAACAGACCATGATTCTGACTCAGGCATGGAAAGGCAGAGGGGTCTGACAATGACCACCTTCTGTAATGAGCAATAGAGATTTTGTGTTTTATACATCCGCTGTTGAGACACACATCCGTCAGTATCACAAGAGCTTTGCTCGTACTGCAGAGTTTATCCCACAGGAACATGAAGGACTTTAGGACATGATGACCTGTTTACATGCAGGTCAAAGCAGTGCTGTGTCTGACTTGCAATGTTACTCACTCATTTGTGTCAGTGTTTCCATTTACACATAGGAGACTGCATCTCTTGTACCCATTACTGGGGTTAATTTCTTTTGGTTCTGATTTGCTAAGATCCTCCCGTTATCTTACTCACCATCTGCAGTTAAGCACAGTTGAAGCCAAGATTTGCCAAAGACCTTTGGCGCATCACCAGCACACCTCTTCGCATGGTGGAATTCTGAGACAGCTGTGTAAAAAGGGATTTTCATTACGATATTATACATAACCTGCATGAAGTCTGGATTCCTGGATGTTGTCTGACAGTGGAAGGAACAGCAGACCTGTCCTGGGAGATTTATAACAAGCACAGAGGAGGAGAGAAAGGAGCTACTATAGTAGATGCCTATCTTTAGGACAATAGTAAGCCTGACTGGTTCTCCACTAAAGGCAAATGAAAGAGATCCCTGACCTTCATGGGCTGCAGATTAGGTTTTAACTCTGTGCTTACACTAGTGAAAGGTAGTGCTGATAACAGATCTTTTAATTCCAGAGCGGGAAGGAATTATAATTTTTATATCTATCGTATGGTTGGTATAAACAAAAGAGGGAAACTAGCTAAGATTCAAGTGGTAAAGCTTTTCTCTACACCAGGACTAACACTAAGTTCGTTCTTTTCCTAATGAAAACACTACTTTTCCACTTTTCATAACTGTGTGGCCAAGTCAACAATGAACCCAGATTGCCTCTGAGGCTGCTTTTTCACTCAGACTGCATGGAATTACAAATAAGTTCTAAGTAGTTTGGGGTTAGTATACAAAGTACGTCAAACAGAGATGAGAAGATACTGAGGAACAGGTCAAAGGCTTTAAAACTTTTTCAGCAGTAACCCATTGCAATATTACTGCTGCAGCACTGAGGTTAGTGATGTATATCTTCAGCAGCAAAGAAGGGAATTCTTAAGAAGTGGTATGAGATTTATATTAATGTATTCTGCAAAATATCATTACATTTCTGCCATGAAACACGAATCAACCGCCGCAAGATCAGAGTTTAAAACTAAGGTTTTGTGGTCTTGCTCTTCTGCTTGGGAGGAACCCAGAGGCCAGGGAAACTCCTTGACTGGAAATGTGCACATCTGCAAAACATGTTCCTCAGGCAAGAAGTGGTTCTGCCACAGATCTGAGCTTGATAAGAGAGGCCAAGAGCAATCAAGAGCTGGTGGAAGGACATGTGACTTGTGCAGAAATTTCTGGCTTACAGTTGCACTCACAGCATCCTGGGAGGCCCCAGGATAGAAGTTCCCTCAAGGTGCCCTCAAGTTTCTCTGATGTTAACACAAATGAACCCAGGGTTATCTCACAGCACAGCGAGAAGAGAGGCCATGGGGCAAGCAAGCCCAAATGAGTTTCTGCAGCATATCAGTGTGCCAGAAAGGACT